TATATTTTTGTAAAATAATTGATTTATAATTTGTAACAATTTATTTAAATTACTATATAAATATAAATAAATATATTTATTTAAACATCAACAATCTATTTAAATCAATACATAAATATAAATAAATTATACTTGAATTCAGATTGGCATGTTACATCTATTTAACTTAGTTAAGACAGTTACCTCACCCACCTTAATAAATTTATATTTAATATTATATTTTAAAAACTTATTAATTTATAAATATTAATAATTTATTTATATTAATTCATAAATATAAATAAATACTCTCATTAGAAATTGAACCTCTACAATCATTTAACTCAATTAACCAATATCAATAATCACATTTTCCCTTTTATTCTATATTTAATGTTGTATTTAAGTCTGAAGATGACACATAATTCTTTTTTTTACAATTTAAATAAAATATTTTTTTACTAATTAAATAAAAATATATTTTTATAAATAAAACAAAAAAAATAAGAGTACATAAATATATTTTTTAAAATGATTTATTTAAAATAAAGCACCACATATGTTTTTATTATTGTTTTGTTGTTTTCATAAAGATTTAAAAAAAAACTAATTTCGTAAGAGAAAAATTATGAATTTTTAAAAAATATTATTAATAATACGAAAAGAAATTTAATAATTTGTTTAAGAACATGAAAGAAAAAAAGAAATGATTTATAATTTTTTTTCATGGAGAGGGTATTAACTAATAGTTTATACCTAACATTTAGATTTCTTTGTCCCTCTTGTCGAATAAATAACATCTCATTTATTAAATATAAGGGCGCGAGCTAGAATCTTTGACATTTCATTTGTTAATTTTAAAATGGTGAATTTTAGTCAATAAAACATATTTAGGTTTCTTCTTCTATATAATACCACATTAGATTCCCTAAATCAAACCCGTCTCAGTGTATTACAGTTGTAAAGATTCACAATTTCACACACTTTTCTTCTTTTATTTTTCAAAAATAATCCACCATGAAACACCACCAACATCATCATCATCATCTCCACAAAAATCTTTCGTATCCAAAACCATCTATCACACTCCATAGAAATATCCATTTCTAATCCACTTTTTTTCACTCTATCTACGTTACCATCATTCATAAAAAAAAATATCAAATTTTCTCCATGTAAAAAAATCACTCCTTGTAATGCAACTACATCATTCCCTTCACCATCTTCAGCTGAAGATGACACATACAAAAACACGAACACAAACACGAACATAGACACCAACACAAACATAAACACGAACACGAACGATAACGTTAATGTTAATGTTGTTGAGAATAAGATTCAATATCCTCCTGAGAAAAAGAGTTTATGAGGAGCACTGAGTTTGATAATTAGTGCCACATTTGGGCCGAGAATGTTGGGCTTACCATCTTTAATAATAAAATCAGTTCAATTACCATCAACAATCATAATCTTTCTTTCATGGATTTATGTAATCTCATCAATAATTCTTATCGTTGAGCTTTGTTTTGATGCAATGGAAAAGGACAATGTGGAAGAGGTTGGTTTCACAAACCTAGAAACAAGAACATTAGGTTAAAAATACGATTCATTTGTTGCATTGATTTATACTAGTCTATGTTTCTCATTGCTAGTTGCATGTGTTGCTAGAATCAGATCAATCATTTCACCAATTTTCACGAATTTCAACGACTGGGTGATTCATTCATTATTTCCTTTTTTTGATGAAACCACTCCATGTCTCCACCCGGGCTCTAAAATTTAAGGAAGATATGGTTGGTTATAAAAGTGCTAATATATATGTTGATCATGTAGTAGATTTACCATATGTTATAACGGAAGATGATATAAGGTCTTATGTTGAACATATTCAAGAACCAATAAATGTTTATGACGAGACAAAAGAAGTGAAAGTTGAGAAAAGATAAGAATTGTAAGTTGAGCAAAGGGAAGAAGTGTAAGCTGAGCAAAGGGAAAAAGTGCAAGTTGAGAAAAGGGGAGAAGTGCAAGTTGATATTGAAGATGATAGCGAGGAGGATTCAGATTTTATTCAAGAAGATGATGATGACTTGGGTGATATTAAATTCGATGACTTGAATGAAGATGACTGGGATTGGACACATGAGGTACCTAATCATACATTTATGCAAGAAGAGAATGGTGAAAACCAAGTGCCTTCAAACCAAGAACAAACATCAATTGATTTTGATGAAGACAATCAAATTGATTCAGATGATCTTGATACTCCCAAAGGAAGTGAAGATGAAGGTGACGAACATAGGTATCCCAAATTCAAAATGTCTAATTATGGAGATGAAGTAAGAATTGAGCTAGGAATGGCATTTTCCACAAAGAATCTTGTTAGAGATGCAATTACATCTTATGTAATGGAAAGGAAGAAAAACTTGCACTTTGATAAAAATGATAGCAAAAGAATAGTTGTTAAGTGTGAAAAGCAGTGTCTATTCTATGTGAGGTTTAGTAAAAGGGTAAGCAACCAATTCTGGCAATTAGTGAGTCTGACGGAGGATCACACCTGTCATAGGACAACAAGGAATATGCAAGCTAAAATTGAGTTGCTAGCTAATAAATTTATGCATATCCTAAGACATACACCAGAATTGAGGCCAGTATAGCACAAGCATTTGAGAAATGGGGGGTGAAGTTGTCATTTTCTCAAGCTTACAGGGTCAAAACTAGATCATTGGAACTAATTCAAGGAGCTTTGACTAAACAATATTCTCATTTAAGGATTTATGTTGAGGGAATAAGGAGATATAATCCAGGTAGTACAGTTATAATTAAGTGTGACATGTCTAACATTGGACCTATTTTTGAGAGAATATATGTATGTCTTAGGGCGTGTAAAACTGCATTTGCAAGTTTCTTGAGGGTGAGTATGGTGGACAATTAATGGCAACAATAGGAAAAGATGGAAACAATCAAATTTATCCTATAGCATATGTTGTGGTGGAAGAGGAGACACGAGACTCTTGGTAATGGTTTGTGGATTTATTACTCGAGGATATGAATAGCATAATGCAGAGGTATTTTCATTCATTTAAGACCAACAAAAGGTAATTCATTAACACTTTATGTTGGTTTAATTTTGTAATGAGTCACTTTTTGTTGGTTTAATATTATAATGAATAATTTTTTGTTGGTTTAATATTGTAAGATGCATAACTTTTTTGGAGTAATGTTGACTTGATGTATCACATTTTGTAATGGATTACAACTTTTATGTGTAACTTTTTGTTAATGACATGTCATTTTGAAATACCAGTATGAAATTTCAATTTGAAAGTATTATTGAAATATCAGTTTTGATATACCATTGACAAGAATATTTACCATTTATAATTTATCACTTTAACTATTAACAGGACATATCAGTAACATTAAAGACAAACCTTAAAGAAACATAAACATTGTTACTTAGCATTACAACCTTAAAAACAAACCTTACAAAAACATAAACATCATTACTTAGCCAAACCTTACAACATTGTTACTTGAAGACGAACCTTATAACAACATTACAACAATGACAACATTACTCATACAAATGCTTTTGTGAACAACACGATGATAAAAAACCAAGACATAATCAACAAAATAATCAATAATTTAATCTTCTTCTTTAGGTCATCATCACTCTTCTTTGTTAAATCATCTTTCTTCTTTAACTCATTAACCTTCTTCTATAGAGCGTTAATCACTTCTTGTGAATGTTCTAGTATCTTATCATCATATCAATAAAAAAAAGAACATTCTTTTCTTCCATGTAACTAAATGAAACATAAAAGAAGATGAAATTTAGAAATTACCCATAATTTTAAGATAAAGAATACTAAAAATTAGTGATTTATTTGTACCTTGTATAACCCACAAACATAGAACCTCTTACCTAGATTTTGAGATGTCCACAAAGGTGCAAGTGGTAAATCCAAGCCACAATAACATTGCATCCTTCTCTTTCTAGAATGAGAAGAAGCACTAGATATTTACACAAATTCAGAATCCATTACAGTTGGAAGAAGTGATTTATGGTTGGAAGACATGATTTACGACAGGAGAAATATTAAGACTGTTTTTAGGTTTCAGTTTGAAGAGTGATCGAAGAAGACAACGATGGAAGAACGCAATTGTTTTTAGGTTTCAGTTTAAATATCCAATTTATTTAATTTTATATATTGAATTTTCTTATTATTAAAGTTTTAATTTGATTTTAATTATTTAAATATGACATGACAACCATTTTAATGCCACGTAATAAGACATGAGTACACCTCAACACTTTTGATTGAAAAATAGACATGAGGGATCGAAATTGTTTAAAAAAATAAAGAGACTGATATGGTGAATTAGACAAAATAGAGGGAAAAATTGTAATTTAATTAAAAAAACTATTAATTTATAAATATTAATAATTTATATACATTAATAAATAAATATGAATAAAACTTATTATCATTGAGTGAATCTTATATTTTTTAAAACAATTTATATTTATTTAACCCAATTAACAAATATCAATATCAATTCAGTTATCTCATCCATTTTTAAAATGATATTGCTTTAATGAATATTAAAAAAATTATAATTTTTATTAATTATTTATATGTAATATAAAAAAGATTGAAATATAGTTTTTAAAGAATATAGAAAAAGTTATTTAGTTATAATATTATAAAACAATTTATAATTTTGTTTTTTAACATACAATTATGTGGTGAAAAGAATTAATTATGAATGAATTGATTTTGTATATTTGATTCTCATTAAAAGTGAATTAAATATAATTGAATTTAACAATAATTTTTAATATAAAATTACATTAGAATCAATTTTACTTTATAAAAATCTATTAAAAAATCTATACCAAACATAGTAAGGTAGGAGTTAGGTTTCTTCCTTTTATATACACATAAGATTCCCTGAATGAAAGCCACACTTTCACACACTTTTGTTTTTCCATTTTTCAAAAGTATTCAACCATGCAACACCACCAACTTCATCACCATCTCCACAAAAATCTCTCATATCCAAAACCACCTATCACACTTCATAGGAATATTCACATCCAACCCCAAAAAATTCTCACTCTATCACCATCTCCATCCTTCACAAAAATACCCTCAAATCTTCTTCATCTAAGAAAAATCACTCCTTGTAATGCAATAACACCATTTCCTACACCATCTTCAGACACGAACACAGACACAGACACGAACACAGACATTAATGTTAATGTTGTCAATGTTGTTGGGAATAAAATTCAATGTCCTCCTGAGAAAAAGAGTTTCTGGGGAGCAGTGAGTTTGATAATTGGTGCAGCAGTTGGGCCTGGAATGTTGGGTTTACCATCTCTAACAATAAAATCAGGTCCAATACCATCAACAATCATAATCTTCATTTCATGGATTTATGTAATGTCATCAATAATCCTTGTTGCTGAGCTTTGTTTTGATGCAATGGAAAAGGACAATGTGGAAGAGGTTAGTTTCACAAACCTAGCAACAAGAACATTAGGTCAAAATTTTGGTCCATTTGTTGCATTGGTTTATACTAGTCTATGTTTTTCATTGCTAGTTGCATGTGTTGCTGGAATCGGATCGATCATTTCCACGATTTTCACGAATTGTAATGGTTTGGTGGTTCATTCATTGTTTCCCCTTTTTGTTGGAATCTTGATTGTGTTTTTCCCTTTCAATACTGTTGATTTTGCAAATAAGGTTTTGTGTTTTATGATGCTTGTTTCAATAACTGGATTGGTTGGGATTGGAGTTGTTGTGGCTAGAGCTAATATAATAAGCTCATTTGGTTCCATTTCGTGGAAATTATCGTCCATTTTGCCGATTATACCGGTTGCTGTGTTGACAGTAGGGTTTCATGTGATTACGCCTTTTATATGCAAAATTTCTGGTGATACTATTGATGATGCAAGAAAAGCTATTCTGATCGGTGGAACTGTTCCGTTGGTGATGGTTTTGTCATGGAATTTGATTGTGTTGGGACTTGTTGGAGCTAAGAAAGGTACTGATTTTGTTGGTGATCCTATTACACTTTTGCTTTCGGTGAATCCTTCTGCTTTATCGGCTGTTCAAGGTTTTGCGTTTTCTGCTATGGCGACTAGTTTGATTGGTTATGCTGTGAGTTTGCCTAAGCAGATTCTTGACACTTTTGAAATGGTAGTTGGAAAAAGTGAAAATGGAGGAGTTGGATTGGTTTCTTATTCAGGTGATGGCGGGTGGCGGTGCCAGTGGCGGTGATGGTGGTAATTATTCGGGGAAAGTTGGATTTGAAAGCTCAAAAGATGTGAGTGAAATGAGATCGAATGAGAAAAGATTTGAGAGAGTTAAGGTGTTTGTAACAATATTGGTTCTTTGTTTTTCAGTGTTCACAGCTTCCTATTTTAGGTCTACATTTTCAAGAGCTCTTGATTTTGCCGGTGTCTATGCGAATTGCTTTCTCTTTGGCATTATTCCTCCTGTCATGACTTATTTTCATCAACAAACCAATAAGGAAAAAATCAGGTATGGTTAAGTTTTTGAAATCAAGCTAATGAAGAGTGAGTTGCAAGTTGGTTATGAAGCACGGTCACAACACTGATACACCAGACACGACACTAATATGCCGACACCAGTAACAAATTAAAAAATTATTAAATGTAATCTCTTGTGTTGTGTCATGATATTGTTGGACACCGACACATGTTTGATAGTGGAAATGCATTCAATCAGAAGTGTCAGTGTTACGTTTACAAGAAGAAGGCACAATGTACTTCTGTTGCACTGTCACTTCACATAGAAGATGTGTTCCACCGACGCGTGGCTACCTTCAATTATTTCATTTTTTCAAATTATTATCATTCTCGACATGTTAGTATCATTTTCATATTCGATGTCAACATTAAGGATGTGATTACTGATATCTATATGTTATGAATGATTTTGCAGGTCATCCTTCATTCCAGGAGGAAATGTGACACTTCTGATGCTTTTCATTATCTCAGTCATATTAGCAATTTGGCATTAGATGTTCTTCAAAAGCCACGTTAAGAAGAATTCGGTAGATTACAATTTCGGATCAAGATCTCGTAAAGTTGGAATATAAGTCGCCAGATCTTAATCTATCAGTAGTAAGATTTAATAGAGTTGGAATATAAGTCGCCAGATCTAAATCTATCAGTAGTAAGATTTAATAGAGTTGGAATATAAGTTGTCGGATCTAAATCTAACGGTCGAGAGTATTTGACCGTAGACGATTTGGATCCAATTTAGAAATATGTCAAATTCTGTATGCCATAATACTTTTGTAACTCAATCTTGTGAGTACTAATGGAGTAATATTAAAATGACATGATTTGATAAAGGAACCATTAGAATAGAAATATAATTCCATGGCTATGATTGACACTTTACCCCGGAACTGCAACAATCATAGCCATAGAATTCTCTCCAAGAGGATTTTGTTAGAGGTTTTTTTTGCAAGCTTCACTCTAACAACAATCTAATTTTCCTCCATTTTTCTACCTTACCTTAGCAAGACGTCCTAGGCCTCTATTCCAACCTCGTTGTTGTTCTTAAAAAGGTGCAAGAGGCCATCAACTTTAACCGTAACTTCTTCTGAAACTTTTTTTCGGCTGAAAAATACATTGAAGCTCATCTCAAAGGAATCCAGAACTACCTAGAGAAAGTTGAATCTAATTATCATGTTCTTCTCGAGTAGAAATTACAGAAATACTACAATCACATTCTCTTCAAAGAGGAAATTCATTGGTATCAAAAATCTCGTCACAATTGCATAAAATTTAGAGAGAAAAACACTTCTTTCTTTCATGCAAAAACCATAACCGAGACGAATAGAAATAAAATCAATAGAATATAAAAGAGTTTCAAAGAGAAAAATCTGATATGTATTATTCACAGAGCACATAAATATATATACAATTTCTGTTACTAATGTCTCTCTTTAATAATAGGAGGCTTTTAAAACTAAAAATAAAAATACAGCTATGCATATCAATTGATATCAAAAATATATCTTTCTAGAATATCAATATTTGACTTATTCCAACACCCCCCTTCAAGTTGGTGCATGGATGTCACACATTCCCAACTTGAGTAAAGATTCGTTAAACACCTTGCCTGCTACTTCTTTAGTGAGCATATCAGCTAATTGTTGTTCAGATCTTACAAACGGAAAAACAATTGTCTCGGCTTCAAGTTTCTCCTTGATGAAATGTCTATCAATTTCAACATGTTTTGTCCGATCATGTTGGACAGGATTATGGGTAATCTCTATGGCCGATTTATTGTCACAATATAAACTCATAGCCTCTTTTGGTTCAAAACCTAAGTCTGACAATACACTTTTTATCCATAACAATTCACACATTCCAAGTGCCATACCTCTAAATTCTGCTTCAGCACTTGATCTAGCCACTACCGTTACTCCTCCAAGTTACAAGGTCCCCCCCCCCCCCCCCCCCCCAAAGGTGAAATATCCTGAGGTAGATCTTCTATCATCCGCTGAACCTGCCCAATCGGCGTCTGTATATCCTTCTACCCTCAAGTGACCATTGTTTGAGAACAATATTCCTTTACCTGGAGTAGATTTCAAATATCTTAATATCCTTTCTACAGCATCCATATGAGGCTTACGCGGATCATGCATAAACTGGCTAATAACATTCACTGCATAAGTGATGTCTGGTCGTGTATGAGAGAGATAAATCAGCTTCTCTACCAAACTTTGGCACCTCCCTTTATCTGTGATGTTTGAGTTTAGGAAATGAAAGAGCTTATGATTTTGTTCAATAGGAGTTTCTGCTGGTTTAGAGGCAAGCAACCCAGTTTCAGATAGCAAATCAAGAGTATACTTTCTTTGGCATAGAAAAATACCATGTTTTGATCTTGCTACTTCAATACCCAAAAAATATTTTAGGTTTCCAAGTTGTTTCATCTCAAATTCAGAGGTAAGGTATTTTTGCAATCTAGAAATTTCATCTTGGTCATTTCCTGTAACTATCATATCATCTACATAGATAATCAAGGCAGTAATTTTACCTTCTCCTTTCTTCAAAAATAAGGTGTGATTCGAGTTACTTGCTTTATAACCAAAAATCTTCATAGACTTAGTGAACCTTCCAAACCATGCTCTTGGAGACTATTTTAATCCATATAGAGCCTTCTTTAATTTGAAAACCTTCGATCCATTTGAATCCAACATACCTGGTGGGGTATCCTTATAAATTTCTTCTAAAATTTCATCATGTAGGAAAGTATTTTTCACATCAAATTGTAGAAGAGGCCAATCTTGATTGGCTGCTAGTGACAAAAGTATCCCCACAGTGTTGAGCTTGGCTACTGGCACAAATGTCTCTTGATAATCTACACCATAAGACTGAGTGTAACCTTTAGCCACTAGTCGTGCTTTATACCTGTCAATTGTTCCATCAGCTTTGTGTTTAATGGTAAAAACCCATCTGCACCCCACCGTTTTCTTCCCCCTTGGTAAAGTTACAAGATCCCAAGTTTTGTTTTTTTTCTAGAGCTGTCATCTCCTCAACCATTGCTTCGGTCCATTTAGGATCTGCCAAAACTTCCTGCACATTACTAGGAATAGGAATTGAGGATAATTGAGATACAAATGATGCATATGACCGAGATAACTTGTGAGACGACACATAATTACTAATGAGATATTTAACTTTGGATTGGAGGTCTGGTTCATATCTGACATGAGGTTTACCACGGTTAGAACGGGGTCGAAGATTTTACTGGATATTAGGTGGTTCAGTGTTAGGTGGGTTGGTGGTATCATGCAAACAAGAATTAATTTCATTCAAAACAGAATCAACTTCAGAATCACAAACAAGATCAACTTCATCTATACTTGTATCAATAGGGAAAGAATCAAGAGTTATCGTTGAAGGGTCAAGTTGAACCTGTGGAGAAGATTGAGCTAGTTGGTGATAATCAGGAGACGTTGTATTACCTAAAGTTAATAGATCCATATTTAGGATTGGCTCAGTACCTGCGGAGTGATCCTCACAAGATAATTTATTTTCACAATAATTTTGTATTTGAGATGTCAAACATACTAACATCAGGATGTTGCACTTCACTTTCATTCCCCCCTTGAAGTGTAGGATCAACCAAAAAAAAGTAATCTTCATGAAACGTTACATCCAAAGAAATAAAAAATCTTTTGGATGTTGGATGGTAAGCACGATAACCTTTTTGAGTTGATCCATGCCCAACAAAGACGCATTTAATGGCTCGTTTATCAAGTTTTAAACGTTGATGTGGGTGTAAGTGAACATATATAACACATCCAAAAACACGAGGTGGTAAATGAACAATAGGGGGAAGAACATGATGATCAGACAATACATCTAGAGGCCTTCTAAAGTTATGAACACTAGAAGGGGTCCGATTAATCAAATAAATGGCAGAGTTCACAACCTCGCCCCATAAATGAGATGGAACGTTACCATCTATTAGGAGTGATCTTGTCACCTCTAATATGTGTCTATTTTTCCTCTCAGCCACTCCATTTTGTTGGGGGTGAATATGGACATGTAGTATGATGCAAAATTCCTTTAGAGTTCAAGAAATCTGTTAATTCGGTTTTAAAATATTCCCCTCCATTGTCTGATCTAATGACCTTTATGCATATGTTAAATTGTGTTTCTATCATTTTATAAAAAGAAAGAAACACTTCATTCACATCACTTTTATGTTTAAGCAAATATACCCAAGTTACCCGAGTACAATCATCAACAAAATTGATAAACCATTTTCTTCCATTATGCGTAGATTGCGGGGAAGGGCCCCAAAAATCCGTGTGAACCAATGAAAAAGGGAAAATATATTTTTTATTTCTTAAGGGAAAAAAACACGATGACTCTTTGCCATTACGCAAGTTTCACAAAAAAAATCTGAAATTTTGCATTTATGAAATAACGATGGAAATAATTTCTTTAGATAACTAAAAGAGGGATGTCCCAACCGTCTATGCCATAACCAAATTTCTTTTTTATTTTTATCTTGTATGAGATCACTCGCAAGATGAGCCAATGCTCCTTTATGGGTTTGTTGTGAGACTTTTCAAGATAATACAACCCTTCATTGTGTCTACCACTGCCAATCTTCTCCTTCGTATGCATGTTCTGAAAAAAACAATGGGTTGGATAAAACATAGCAACACAAGAATGTGATTTGGTTAATTTACTAACAGAGATAAGATTACAATTTAGAGTAGGAACAAATAAGACATCGGGTATAGATAGGGTAGGTGAGAGGGATACAGTACCAACACCTTCAATAGGAGATTTGACTCCATTGGCATTAATAATGGTATTTTTGGAACAATAAGGAGAAAAATTAGTAAATATGTGAGGATCACAAGTCATATGATCAGAAGCACCAATATCAATTATCCAATCACTACTCCTAGTAACAACAGAAAGATTAAGAGCAGAGTTAGATATACCTGACTTTGTTACAAATCCAGTAGTAGTAGAAACATGGCCCTTATTATTTTCTGCCTTATTATTGGAAGTAGATTTTCCTTTTGGGTGCCAATCGGGATAGCCATGGAGTTTAAAACATGTCTCCATGACATGATTATCTCCATTACAATGGGTACACTTGTGAACTCCTTTCTTAGGATACTTCTTGATGGCAAGGGCATACCCCTCAGAAGACTCACTACCAAGCATAGCTTCTTGGCGATTTGCCTCAGCACAAACAATTGCATAAGCAGCTTGAATGTTTGAGAGTGGAGTTATAGCAAGAATACGACCACGGACTCCATCCAAGTGTGAATCCAAACCAGCCAAAAAAATATAAACACGTTGAGAATTAACAGTGTTGTTATACTTCTCAACATCTTTAGTGCACTCCATGGTACAATTTGTAATGGCATCATACTCTTGCCACAACCTTTTTAATTTTCCAAAATATATAATCACAGAGCCCCCATTTTGATGAGTAGAAATTACCTCACGGTATAATTGATATGCCCTA